TATAAATGCCTGGTGACAATGGAAAGGTGGCAAGCAGAGACAAAACAATTGCATCTGTGGCAAACTGCCTAGCACAATGGACTTCTAAGCAAGACAGGTTCACTTTGGCTCGCTCTCAGAGGTTTCTGCCTGTGGTTGCTTGGGTTTTCGGTATTGTTTGTAGCAATGTAATAATATTATGGTCTGCTTTGGTGGTGGGCATGGCCTGGTGACTGGGAAGTAGAGAAAGTGGGAGGAGAGATTGGGATCCCAGTGCCCCCTCAAACGGAAACCCCAGCACCTAACTTCTTCCCAGTGCCTCTGCCTCCTCCTAAAATGTCTACCCCCTCCAGCAGGGTCCTCCACCTCCACAGGCTGTGAACCAAGCCTTCAACACATAGACCTTTGGGAAATACTCAGGATCCAAACTATAGGGAATATCTAATTCCATCCTCTCCTTGGCATTCTATTATCTCACTTATATAATGCCACACTCGTGTGCATCCAGAAGTTAGAAAAAAAAAAAAAAAAGAGGGAAAAGCTAGAACAAGAAACAAAAAGGTGTAGGAATTGTAAACCTATTTCACCAGCCGTAAAGAGGAAGTGGCGGGCAGCTTGCAAACATTTGCTCTTTTTTGGGCACCGGCTGCTTCCGTATGTTTGAATAAACAAGAAAGGCGTGTGTGCTCGTCAACCAGTGAACTCCGGTGGCTCTGCTGGCCAGGGATCCGGGGTGAACAGAGTGGAGACAAATGTTTGGTTGTGATATGTTAGGTTTTTCTATTCCAGTTTTTAACACAATCTTTGTTTTCATTACAAATGTCTGTTTTTACAGACTGGAGAGGAAAGCCTGTTGACAAACACAACAGTGATCGAGTTCCCTGAAGCCAGCCAAGAGGCTCACAGAAGAGTTAAACATTCAAGGAACCATAACGACCAAAGACAAAGTTTAAAAAATAGCTTGACAGGCCTGCACACTAGAAGCCGCAAGGAGGTTCTCTCAGGGATTCTCAGGAGGAAAATATGTACTAGGGGGGAAAATCAACGAGTTAGTAGGAGTCAGAGAGAAGACAGCAGCAACAGCAAAGGAGAAACAACGTGGGAATAGTTGACACCCATGATGCTGTACCATAGGCTGGAACGAATGAAACCTTAAGGCTCACAAAGACATGCAAATTGATTTTCCTAAAGTCTAAAGACTGAGATTGGGGCTGGAGAGATGGCTCAGGGGTTAAGAGCACTGACTGTTCTTCCAGAGGTCCTGAGTTCAATTTCCAGCAACCACATGGTGGCTCACAACCATCTGCAATGAGATCTGGTGCCCCCTTCTGGCCTGCACTGTATACATGATAAATAAATAAATCTTTTTAAAAAAAGACTGAGACTGATGGAAATAATAAAAAAATAAAACTCTCCTGATCTATTTGCTTCAGGAATAAAAAATCTTTGGGACACGTGTGGTTCCACACAACCAAACAGAGAGCAAAAACAACAAATAATTTCAACTATTTATATGTAGATTATTTTTAAAAAATTGCTCTTGCACATGATCAGAAGGGGAAGCAGAATAAATCATTTAAGCTATTACATCATCCTGTCCCCGTTTTGAGTCCCTGTTTGACTCAGAGGTGTTGAGGTTTTCCCTGGTTTGGTGTCCGCACTGTTCTGCTGATTCTTCCCAACACTGACGCTCAGAGAGCACTCGTGATGTCTTGCTGATTGATGGGAGAATCAATGAAAGGCATTCCTGTCTCAGTCAGCATTGATTTTCCTTTGTGGTTGGTCCTTGCATGGCCTTTTGACAGAGGACTAATGGTTTACAATCCTGTCATCAGGAATATAACAATATTGCACATTACCAGGCCTATAAATACAGCTTCCCCAATGACAGAGATGTGGATCTCAGGCACCTTGGTAGTCTATTGTATTTCACTGTTCTCTTCCTGTGACAGGAAAATTCATTATGACCACAGACACCATGCTTGTCACAGGACTTACTTTGGCTCGTAGCATATGGTGGAAATGAAGAATGTTACCACCTTGCATGAGTTTTGTTCTTTTTGCTTGGAGACCTGGTCCTGCTAGGTACCCTATGCTGTCTCAGTTCCCAAGTGCTGGGATTACAGGAGTGTGCCACCAAATCTGGCTTCTAGCACAAGCTTTAGGAGCTGTCATGTTTCCCTAAGGTCCGTGAGCCCCACATAGGGGCTGCTTCTTTGGCCTGGATACTGGAAATGGACACAACATAGATTAACTCCAAATTCAGCAATGCAGAGACTCATAACTGGCAAGTGTGCTTGGAATTAGTGGCTACTGAGTGCTCAGCCCCAAACCAGACTTCCTCACAAGAGTGGGGGGTGGGAGAGAACGGAAGAGCCAGGGGATGGGAAGAGAGCTGTGGAATCCTGCCTTCTGGACAGGACTCGGCTCTGCCTTCCTGAACTCACTATAGGTATGGTTACTTGCACAAGACCAAGTCAACATTCCATCAGGGTATTGTTGTTGTTGTTGTTGTTGTTGTTGGTGGTGGGGGAGGAGGGGGGGGGGGGGTGGGGGTTGAGGGATGTCTAAGAGGAGTGGGAAGGGAGATTGGGAGTTGGTGGTGGGTGTGATCAAGATACATTAAATGTGTGTGTAAAATTGTCAAAGAAAAAATAAAAAGTTATTCTTAAGAAAATGCATTAACTTAAAAGATGCAGCCTGACTGCTTAAAAGTTCCCAAGTTCATGAGACTTGAACCCTGAAACTGAGCATTTGAAACATACGACGTTGAAGTTTGGGGGAGGTGCTGCAGCACAGGTTTCTGTAAACTGATTGCTCAGAAGTCTCTCAAGTGTGTTGACTTACATTGGACTGCATATGGCCTACATGGTTCTCTGAAGGACTCTTGATTTAAGAAGAAGAAAGCTGACAAGTGGGTCATTGCAGATTAGCCCTCCTTCCCATGAGAGTCAAACTGAAGGTGTTTCAGATATATATATATATATATATATATATATATATATATATATATACTCACACATATATGTTACTTTCTCATGGAATCCTTGAAAATAGAAAGAGGACATTATTTGGACTGAAGATCACGCCTCGGTTTGGGGTGTCATCATAGGAGTTCTCCATGGAGAGAGGGTGGGCTAAGAAGGGAGGGAAGGCAGGAGACGCTGTCCCTCAGAAGTGTCCCTCCACACTTCCTTCCTTCTTTGCCATTAAAGCTGAGTCTGTGATGGAGTTATGAACCTGTGGCAATAGCTCTGTCCCCTCCAGGGCAGAAAACCCAGCATCTGCATTCAGAATCCCACCGGATACACGGCTGAGCTCATGGTGTGTTCGGGACCCAACTGCAGTTCAGTGTTGATGGTTTCAACAACTCGCAGCAGCTCTTCACAGCAAAGAGGCTGAAGTTTCCTCCTGGGATGACCACATTTGGTCCCTTGGCGACAGTGCTGGTGGGAGCAGAACGGAACCATTAGTTGGGCCTCAGAAGGGCCCAGGAGGTGAGTAGACAGTGATGTGTTGAAAATGGTAAGGGCAGGAGGTTGGTTTCCTCATTCCCAGGCTAGGTAGGGGGGTGGTTTCAGGCAGAGACACCTGAGAGTTGGTTTTGGTTCTCAAATTCTGGGTGGCCTTGAGGACTCCCTTATTTATCTCAGAATAACAATGACAGGATAGGATCAATTCTCATTAAAAAATACAAAACAAACAAGCAAACAAACAAACACCCTGGATAGGGCTTGGAGAGATGAGTAGGCGTTAAGAGCACTGGCTGTTCTGCTGGAGGACCCAGGAGCAATTCCCAGCACCCACATGGCAGCTCACAACTGTAGCTCCAGTCCTGGGGGAATCTGATGGCCTCTTCTGGCCTCCGTGTGCACTGCCTGCACTCAGTGCAAAGCTATACATGAGCTACTAATATACATCAAACCAAAATCTCAAATAAATTAAAAACTGCTTGAACATTAATAAGAATGTGTGAGGGCACTGTTTTTTTTTTTGGTTTTTTGAGACAGGGTTTCTCTGTGTAGCTTTGGAGGCTGTCCTGGCACTTGCTTTGGAGACCAGGCTAGCCTTGAACTCACAGAGATCCACCTGCCTCTGCCTCCCGAGTGCTGGGATTAAAGGCATGTGCCACTAACGCCCGGCATGAGGGCGATGGTGAATGTACTGTGTATGTTTATCTTATTGATTGTTTAATAAAGTTCTGTTTGGCCAATGAGACAGCAAGTTAGGCAGGACTAGGAGTCAAAGAGGATTCTGGGAAATGTAGTAGAGAAGTGGTGATCCAGGCAGGAAGTGACATAGCAAGGAGACTCATATTTAAAGAAGGAGAAACAGGAAGCCTCCCTCTTTTTCCCTCCGCTCCTGCTCCAGCGGCACAATGTGATCCACTGGCAAGGAGGGACGCCAATAAGATTAAGTCTTATAAAATATATAGATTTATGATAATTAAGACTGAGCTAACAGATGAGAATCCTAGTCATTGGCCAAGCAGCTCTGAACCTAATACAAGTTTCTGTGTATTCGTTTGGGCCTAACTCGGGTGGGCAGCTGGCGTAAAGCTCACATGTGGCGGTGGGGCTCGGCCGCTTTCGGCGGAAAGATTTATCGTAACATGAGGGCACTAATTTTGCAAATCCAAACTGTAGAGGGAGGAGATGGATGGCAGGATCACCGGTGACCTAGCCTCTCACCCACCATTATCCTCACCATGCTGCCAGGACCACCTGGGTTCTTGTGAAAATGAGGCAGCAAAAGAAAAAAAAGGTCGGTATCTCGTCCAAATCCTATCAACTGAGATCACGAGTACTGGGGACCTGAGATGAGGCCAGAACGAGACCGTAGCAACAGGACACTGGCTTTGTGAGCAGGCCTGAAGTTCCTGGCTTGGTAATGCTGGAACTCATATTGCATGGATAGACACAGCCCCCATAAGGCTTTATTGTGTCAAATGCAAAGGAAAGGTATGACTGTGCCTAACTTACATGGTGATTGCAAGGTGTAAGTGAAAGTGCAGTGTGCACAAGAGTGCATACTATCCATGTGTGAGCTTAGGGAAGTGTCTCAGTTTCTAGTCTGAAAAGGTAAGACACAAGGTAGTCAGAAATACCGTGAGTTTTCCTCACGTGACCACTGAAACACACAGCTAAGGAAGCTCATGAAAACAAATGGATGTGGTTTTTAGGCTGGGACTGTGGCATGGCTGTTTGCTCCAAAGATAACATGATCACACCATCAGTCTGTCTGTCCACCATCATGGAGCAGATATAAGCTTGGCTCAGTAGTCATGGCAACCAAGTAAGTGTAGTAATACCGTGATAACCAGGTCTATGGTAATATTAAGAGAGTGATTAGCATTCCCTTTAAGAAGATGGGTGAGGAAGGTCAAGAGGTCTTCATCTGAGATTTCAGTGACCACTTCCCAATTCTCAACTGCATGCAACCTTAGGAGGGTCTAGAATATGCAATACATGGAAGCCGGGCGTTGGTGGCGCACGCCTTTAATCCCAGCACTCGGGAGGCAGAGGCAGGCAGATCTCTGTGAGTTCGAGTCCAGCCTGGTCTCCAGAGCGAGTACCAGGATAGGCTCCAAAGCTACAGAGAGAAACCCTGTCTCGAAAAACAAAAACAAAACAAAACAAAACAAAAAAAGAATATGCAATACATGGAAGATTGAAGGTGGGCCTCCATGGCATGAGTCATCACCCATACTGGCATGAGAGTTTTCATTGATATTAATGTTTTGGGGCTCCCCACACTTCTTTAAGGAAGCCTAATAAACTCACTGGTTCATCACGCAGGGCTTTGAGTAACTGCACACTTTTGTCTATTGTCAGTGCTCTATCCGGGGTGAACAGATTTGCCCACATCTACCCCAGGAAAAGGCACTCGGCAGTTGAATTTGATTATTACTAAGAGACCATAGGAACAATAAAAGTACCTGTTCAAGAGACTTTGGCAACAAGACACCACTTCGGTTGTGTTGCTGAGTAAGTTGGTGGTCTCCAGAATGTGATGGCAGTTGGTGTCTACCGGGGTGCCGGAGAGCATGCCTGGGAAGGAATTGAGCGCCGTTTATTGACATAATTTAACAAAATCCCAGAACTACTCTGTTCTCAGCTTCTCCGAGGCAGCCCACACATTCCACCCTACAGTGTGCTTAGCCCAGCTGACTCTCAGCTTTCTGCAGTAGCATATGCTGCAAACGCAGCCTGGAAGCCTACCTCCCTGGAAGCTCCCATCCTTTGGGCACGCAGGATGTGAAGGATGAATGCCTTACCTGCGATGCAGGCTGTCATGAAGCAGGCAACTGTCCCTGCAATCAGGGCTCTCATTGCTCCAGAGGCAATGTCACGCTTTCTGGACGGAGCTATGGATGCTGGGAGAGAAAGGGGCATTTGAGACTAGGGCAATTAGAAACCCAAATTTGTAGCTTCTAATAATTCTTTTGTGACTGGACTCTCAGGTCCAGTCACAAAAGTGACTCTCAGGTCACTTGAAAAGAAACAAGTCCTAAAAGTATCCACAGGGCCCACAGAGCATGGAGAACACGGCAGTGTCAATGGAGTTACCAGGAGAATCAATCAACGAGACGATGTCTTGTTAGTTGTCATCATCTATGTTTACACTCATGGCCAACATCAGCAACAAATGACAGCATCTCCTACAGTGAGCATCCATGGGCCCAGAATTCCCCCTCGGATGGCTGTTGTAACTCTATGAGCACTGGTCAACAAGTGACTGCTGTTACTGGCTTGGGAGAAGGGTCTGTATGTTTGAACATGTTTATCTTGAATACTAGAATGTGCATTTGAAAGCTGTAGCCAGAGAAGGGATAAAACAGACCCCTTTCCATGACACAACGTTAAAGAGCAGGATGAACTCGGGTAAAGGTCACAGCTGCTGTCGAAGACTATTCTTTTCACTTACTAAGTCCGCCGATCACTATTCCTAGGGAACCAAAATTGGCAAAACCACAGAGGGCGTAGGTGGCAATGGTCTCAGAACGAATCTGTAAGGAAGCATAAATAGCGGTATGTACATGATCTAACCCTCCTCCCAAAATCTGGCACCCCAGTTGGCTTCATCGGCCATAGAATGAATGGTGATATGTGTGACTACTTAGTAGTCACACACTGTGGACTATCAAATAACCACCGATGGTTTCCTTGTGCTCTTGAATTTTGAGGGAGAGTGGAAAGAGTATAGATTCAAGGAACTGGAGATTAGTGGCCTTGACATCTACAGATGCTTCCTGCGCACTAGTAACTTGTAATATTCCTTATGACTTGGTCACCTGCTGTATTATAGCAGGCACAGTGCTAGTTGGTAGCGATAAGAAATTGGTCTCCGAAAATGTTTACACTATATTATCTGACATAGGACTTACTGGGAATATCTAAAGAGCTGCTATAATTAAACAAGAAGACTACTGTCCAAGTTTTGGATGTATTGCTACAAAAGATATGCAAATGGGCAAAGAACATATGGAACAACGCTCAATATGAGATACCCAGGGAGGTGCCAGCCACTGTGTCAAGAGCCAAGATAAATCCTCCTCTAAGTGGACTTATGTTAGGTATTTTGTCAGTTACTGCAAGAGCTAAAATGGAGAAACAGAAACTGCCTACACTAAGCGTGTTGGGCTGTGACGCATCTGGGCACTCGTACATCGCCACTGGGAAAGTTACACAAAGCGCGCTCTCCTGGTGAACACTGGAGGCTCACTGAGCTAACGCATGCTGCCTTCAGGAGCCTTGAAAAGAAAATGTATTATCACATGACGTGTCCAAAGGGCCTACAGATTCCTAAGGACATGGCTAAGCCGGTGGTTACAAGCAAGAGCCCATCAATGAGACCGTGTCTCACGCAGCTGTCACTGTCTGCTTCTACACCGTAGGACATATAAAAACAGAGGCCACAGAAGACTGCTCATGAATGTTCGTGCGACTTTACTCCTGGGAGCCTCACATTTGAACAGCTCGGATGGTCTACATTAGAGGATGTATAGACAAATTGTGAAAAGAGGAAAAGTGGTGTTGCATGGTGAATGACATGGATAACCCAGTCTGTTATGGATGGCATGGATGCTAAGGCAGTCTATGCAAACACACAAGAGTGATTATTATGGTTTGGATCTTGACTGTTCACCAGACGTTCACGTTGAAGGCTTAGTCCTCAGCGCAGCCACGTTTACAGGCAGGGCCTTTGGGAGATGTTTGGCTTTTGAGGGCGCTGATTTGGATTCATAGCGTGATGGGGCTGGAGGAGGGATTTGTTGTAACAACACAGTGAACCTTTTCTTTTGATCCTGGCCTCCTACACAAGGCCTAAAAGCAACCATGGTCAAGCTCTAGGTTCCAAGTAAACCTTTTGATTTATCTCAGGTATTTTGCCACAACAATGAACAAATGACTAACACAGTCCTCTGCAGTGAAAAAAGATCATTAGTTGCCAATAGGTCTTCAGGGGGAAGCTAAGTACACCAGTAAACAGGAGCTTCCTTACAGTCTGGTCATCCTGTGTGCCTGCCTTTGTTCTTTAGCTCCAACAACCCCAGGAGAACCCCAGGATGCCCGTTTGGAGATGTAAGAGTGGGCAGCCTCTCCCGGGCAACAGGGAAACAGTGAGTGAGCAGGAGGCAGCATGTGGGGCTGGCTCTTCCTATTCAAGGCTGCAGTCTAATGACGGTCCCTCAGGCTGAAGGACCTAGCACAGAAGTTTCTGCAGATTGGTGAGCCTCTGCTTCTCCAGAGCACACTGCTTCTCCAGAGCACATCCAGCCCAGAAAAGGCATGGCTGAGGTCAAGCTGAGGGCTGTTCTATATTTGTTACTCCACATTATACAAAACAGTGGATTTCCAGACTGACCCTTGTCCTGAGAGACTCCATTTTGCAAACAGCATTTGACTCCATATTGAGTGTGAATACAGGATGACTACACCTGGTAGTCAATGAAAACAGCTCTATCTGCCTGGCACCATCAATGAGGCCCAGATTGATGAGTCACTTACCCTAAAAGCAAAAATGATGCCACCTTCACGCTTGTCACAGTAAATATGGTGAATGGAGGTATCAGCATCACACCAGGACCAGGACTGAGAGGCTCCTGGACACAGCAGACTGAGAAAAGGATGTAGCACCCTGACCAGACCCCAGAGGAGACATCTCACGTCTCAGCGGCCAGAGCCCGATAGCCCATTTCTAAAGGGGATCTGGCAGATATGGGTGTAAAACTGGCCGAGCAAGGACTCTGGGACCATACCACTTCCTTTCGCCCCCGAATGTAAACCATTATGCAGTGGAACGAGATGGGCCGTACTGAGAAGATAATGGTCTCCTGTGTGTGAGCCAAGATGCTCAGAAATTTGGAGTAACTGCTTTTCCCACTGCAAGTCAACAATAGCAGAGGCCACAGAGCTGCTTTCACGCCTACCGTGTGCCTGCCTGCCTGCCTGCCTGCCTACGGCTGGGCTCACTCCCAAATGGAATCAGCTCTACAGTTGGGGCTCTGCCTTCCCAACAGGCTTTTCAGAGGACCAATTAGTATTGCCAGAACTGGCAGCTTGCTTTGCTCATTAACAAAAGCACTTTCTCCTGGCGACGGGGAAGTAGAAAACATGGCAGTTAATTTAGCCCATTGTTTACTCTGGGCAGGGAAACACTGCTGTAGATGGCATCCAAACAATGAAGATGGTTGTCCACGTCCCACTGTTAGGTCACCTGGAAAATGAACAGTGAGGACAGAAAACCCATGGACCCCGTTCCTATCAGATTTGTGGGGCGTACTGCCCTGACCACAAAATCATTCACATGATGCCCTGGGGAGGTGACTCCACTTATATAATCTGTAAGTTTGGTTTTTGGAAGTCCAGGGAGGAAGTGGTGGTCTCAGGGATGAGTATCTTCATGCTTGGCAATACGCTTTAATGCTGGGGAGATGAACTCCAAATGGGTTGTTTCAGAGAGAGAGAGAGAGAGAGAGAGAGAGAGAGAGAGAGAGGGAAATGTTCATTTCTCTAGTTTCTTTATGTGATGATTCTGATCTTTGGGGGGAAATAAATCAGTCAGCTGCAAACGCATCTTCAGGCAGATTGAGTTCCTCACTCCATCAAAGCCCAAGAAGCCTGGAGGGCCTCTTCGCGTGATTACGAAGACTGGCCTAAGGCTTCCCCTCTGCACCTTCACAGCAGCAATTGTCAGATGAACTACAAAGGGGGTGTTTCAGAGAGAGAGAGAGAGAGAGAGAGAGAGAGAGAGGGAAATGTTCATTTCTCTAGTTTCTTTATGTGATGATTCTGATCTTTGGGGGGAAATAAATCAGTCAGCTGCAAACGCATCTTCAGGCAGATTGAGTTCCTCACTCCATCAAAGCCCAAGAAGCCTGGAGGGCCTCTTCGCATGATTACGAAGACTGGCCTAAGGCTTCCCCTCTGCCCCTTCACAGCAGCAATTGTCCCTCATCATCTTTTGAGGCAGACGAGGCACAGAGTGACATTCGTCAGTTTCTCAGAACCCATGCGGCCTTCACCCTCGGCTGTCAGCTCCCAGAAGGTAAGAGCTGCTATTGTTTTGGCTCCTGAATAACTCTCTGTGCTGAAGGTGGGAGGGGACAGAATCTTCAGGGGGTGTGACAGCTAATCTACTTGACACACCCTTACGTGGGAAGAGGGACCCTCAACTGAAGAACGGCCTCTATCGGTTGGCCTGAGGCATGTTTGTGAGGTATTTTCTTCATTGCTGATTGATGCAGGAGGAGCCCACTGTGGGCGGTACCATTCCTAGGCAGTTGAGCCTGGGCTGTGTGAAAAACATGTTGAGTGAACCTGGGGGCCTCCAGCAAACAGTGTTCCTCCATGGTCTCTGCCCCAGGTTCCTTCCCTTGGCTTCTCTCAGCGGGATGAACTTTCCCAGAAGTGCAGGCTGAAGTAAACCTCTTCTTTCCCTAGCTGCTTTGTCATGCTTTGTCACAAGCAACAGAAAAGAACACTAGGACAGGAAGTCAGGAACAGTAAAGGAAACTAGGTCACTGTACCACACTCCAGAAGGGCTCTGTCCCCTCCTTTGTCTCTTTACCTCCCAGTATTTTGGTCTTGCAGTGAACTTGTAACAGTGGCCACACCCTCTTGGGCATGGCCTCGGCAGATGGAAGCAAAAAGAGGGAAGCTTGAGGCGTGGCTTCTGTTTGCTCACTCTTTCTGGTGGGTCAGCTGATCCGGTAGGAAGGGCAGAGAAACCTCCTGTGGTTCTTTGTAATTTTCTGTATAAGTGTTCCCCAATAAACACCCATTTATCACTTTATCTTGGGTCTAGTGAAATAGTTGCATGTCGCCATCATCCCAGTTTCTTTGTGGTGAACAGTCCTTCCCTGCTGCATGCTCTCACCTTGATGGACTGCTTTGTACAGAAGAGCAACAAGGCCAGGGGATCATGAGCTGAAACCACCGAAACTGTGAGCTGAGATGAGCCTGCCTTGTTTTGTTTACCTTGGATGTTGTCTCTGAGCACAGAGGACATTGGATAGACCTGTGTACTAACGCTAGTCCCAGCTCATGTGACCCTAGGTCTGTGTTTATAGTCTTTAAAAGCCCCACCTCTCCCTCTCTTTCTCTCCCTCCTTCCCTGTCTTTCTTTCTCCACACACATATCACACAGTCAAGATAGCATGACTGAAAATTACGCTGTACTCGTTATGAACTCTACAAGGTCAAGCATTTGGATTGTCTGTTCTGCTGTCGCTCAAGTTCCCAGCAGACAGAGGAATGCATTTACGTGATAAAGAGTTATGTATACTTACCGACATGTATTGCTGCACGCCATTCACAAATTTGGGTCCAGCTGCTTTCCTCAAATTGATCAGTTTTGAGAGGTGGTCATAAGCTACAAATTCATTGAAGAATGTCTTGTAACCTATGAGTTTGGCGACCATGAAGCTGTCTTGCCAGTCAACTCCCATCATGAAGGAGAAGGGCATGAAGATGTAGGAACAAAGGAGCTGCCAGAGACAGAGATGTTGACACTGATTAAATGGTGGCTTGCCTCTGATTCTGCCTTGCTGCCCCTCCCTTCTTGACTGGATTGTTCCTGCCGCTTCTGGGCACTGGGAACCCCTTACATCCAGCTGCCCATCTTTATGTATCGGGGCATATGTTTAGTTCCCAACAATGTGGGGGTCAAGGCTTGATTCCCATGTAGTGGTATTAATGGGTACATGACCCTTAGAATCAATGAGTATCTTTCTTAGGATATTGTGTTAATTAATTCTCTGTGGAATGAATT